TGTGTGTGTGTGTGTGTGTGTGAGAGAGAGAGTGTGTGTGAGAGAGAGTGTGTGTGTGAGAGAATGTGAGTGAGTGAGTGAGTGAGTGAGTGTAAGAGGTCAGCAGGATTTTAATACCGGCCATGTATTAGTAAATGGAGTGGCTCTCCGCACTTTCTGTTTTTTAAAGATACTGGGCCAGAATTTAGCACAAACTGCTACCAGTCATGTGCACACAGGTGAGGCTCACTCACTGGCTGAGCACACATTTGTCTAATTGGGTCTAACTGGACCATAACCAGGTGAGAGTCTGTCAGTGGATAAGCACACCTTGGTTAACTCCAGACAGACGAGTGACGGTACAGATGACGAATCAAAATCAAAAGCCTTATCAACCTTTTTCCCGCCATTAGATCTAATGTTTTGATCCATATCATTATTTTCAGCACAATACTGACCTGTCATGGTATTGCCATTGAGGAGACAAAAGAACAGGCAATTTGTACTTGTTTGTTTTTCCCATTATTAGATTGTTGGGGGGGAAAAAATTCAAACGTAATCCCTTAAACTGTGAAGGAAAATGAACAAAAACATGGAAGGGAGATAAATTTCACAAAGTGAAAACACACGCAGTAATTACAGAAAGAAACATGGTCTGCAATCGTTTTCTGGAGGCCGGCAGTGCTCTATGGGTAATTCTGTGCATCTGGAGCAACAGATGAAACCAAAAACACTCTGCAATTTAGATTTTTTTTTCTCCAGCAGGTCACAGCTCACACAAACTAGGGCTAGACTGACACATGAAGTTTTTCAATTACAATTTTGGCTATAAAGCAGTTGGTCTGATTTTTTTCACTATTTAATTTCTGCTATTTTAACCCCATTTTATGTAAGTGAAATGAGTAAAAGACTATGATAAATGGTACAGCTTTCAGTGGGGTGTTTTAGTTCAACCAGGTAAAAGTGCCATTCTATTTGCCATGAAAATGTCAGAAGATATTAGTTACTGGAAACTTCAATCCAAACATATCTGCATTGGCTTTCAAAACCTGTCAGTCAAACCCTAGTGCCTACAAACGCCAACACACACATACACACACACGCACACACACACACACACACACACACACATATATACACACAAATACACTGTATCTGGCAGAACAGTCTGTCTTTCCTCTCAATCTCTTCTTTCTCACTCCCTTCATCTGCTTTGTCGGTACGATGAGCCTGCTGGTTGTTTTTCTTGCAGATCTGTTCTGCTTGACTCCATTACAAAAAAACCAGCAGATCCCAGAGCAGCTCTGCACAAAACCCTGAGCGAGCGTCTCTTTATCTGTTTGTACACCCGCTGAACAGAAGACTCTAATTTCTACTGAGTCAAACTTAAGCACAAGTCCTCGTTTGTGTCGGAGATGAACGGGTCTCGACAGTCTTTTCTTTTCCATGAGGTTGATGCTGTGAGGAGGAGGAGGAGAAGAGTTTACACGAGTCAAAACATCAGGAATACAACCACTGCACAGTGGTCACTTTACATGAAATAACTTGAACCGCTGGTTTCACAAATGTTTTCATGTGTTTTATTTACGTGATGTGAGCTTGTCTTTCGCCTCAGCTTCCTGGTTGTAAATACCACTTGAGTACAGCTTGAAAAATGTGAACAAGCCATTAACAGAGGTGGTTATTGCCACTGGACATGAACACAAACCATTGCACATCCAAATTTTTTTCATTGGACTTCATATCAAATTACTGTCCACTCCCTTTTTGGAACATCCTTCCAGGAAGTCTGAGCACTCACCCTGCCATCTTGAATTAGATGTCAGCCATATTTGTTCCTATGGATACTTGTGTGTCTGTGTGCGTGCGCATGTGTGTGTGTGTGTGTGCGCGCAAGGGGAAGGGAGGCCTCTGTATGTAGCTCTTTACAGAAAAAAGGAACTTTATGAAAAAGTTTGGCGTGATGTGGACGCTCATGCCTCATCAGGACTCAGAGTCGGGTTGTTTGAGTCGAGCGGTACAGCGAGAGAAACCGAAAAAAAAGAAAGTATATATATAATTCTATATTGTGCAGAATATTTATAGGCCTTTTGTGCCATTGAAGTCATGCTCTGCGCTGACCAAGCCCAGCGCTCTCTACCATGTGATCATTATACATCGTCTTGTACTGATGACCCGTGGTTGATTTGATTGTTTTTTCATGTCAAGTGCATTTTTCGCAATAAATGCCTTTGTTTTAAAACAGATTTTCAGTGTCTTTTTGAATCTGCGGAAGCTTCATAATAGAGATCAAACAGAGTGTAATTGGGAGCAATACACATTTGTGTACTCTAATGCGTAATAAACACATTACCTGTATAGCTCATTAGGATTTTACAGTTGTCCCCTGGATGATTCGACCTGAGAATCATATTATATTCTGCTCTAATTATAATTACATGAGCTCACAATGTGCTCATTATGAGCTCATGGAGTCTTATGAGCAACACTCCAGGTGAGGTTATCTGCCAGTGTGAATTATTGTCTTTATCATGCTGGTAAAGGATGTTCAGAAATAAAAGCAGACACTCTTGCTATCTTTTCATCATTCCCTCCGTCTTTTCCTCTCCATCCTCCTGCATCCATTCTCTCCCTGCCTCTCTCTCTCTTGTGTTCTCAAGCCAACACTGGCATGGTCGAGGTGTGTAATTGGTAATTTCAGAGCGTCGCTGGCACTCCCCTTAAATGACAACCTCATCTCTCCAGCAGCCGGGCCTGTCTCCAATGATCACCTCCATTTGCATTTAGAGTGAGTGGCAAAAGGTGACAAGGGTATGTGTATGTGAAGGTCTGTGTGTGCCAGCACACGGGTGTGACAGTTATCTTGGATGTAAGCGCACTTAGAAAATCTTGACTCAAACACAGAGGGTCTACCAGGTGTATTTAAGGTGTGCAGGCAGCAGATCTAGATTTTTCAGTTTTCTGCAGTGTAGAGATAGTGTTTGCTTCAGTCAGGAAAAAACTGGGAGAAATCACTTTCCGCCCAATAGAGGAACAAACCAGAGTAAATAAAGGTGTCTGTACATACACACATAATCTTTCTCCACCGTTTGTC